GTCATGAAGTCGTTCTTATGTAGTTTATCCCAAAGAAGTAAGCAAATGAGAGGACACGTAAATTATTATTGATGAAAAAGGGTACACGGAAATGATTGAGAAGCAAGCAAATGAGAAATCGTTTTTACTTTTTAGGGTACACAGAATTTATTGAGAAGCAAACAATGAGAATGCTTTTTTTTCTGTGGGTTGTTCACATTCCATAGTAAGTGTTGAGAACGGATAGAGAACTTTGTGTAAGATCTCTGTAGAAGAAATTGAGGTATTCGACAAGATCATAAGGCTTATACAGTCGTGGATGCTCTTCGTCCACGAGCTCATCTGGCGAACTCAAGAGATATCCTGCTTTTGGAACCGAGAGCAATGCGAGTGAGTACCTCGGCTTTGTTCCTGTCATCATTACACGGTGATAAGGAGGGTCTAATCGACCATTCAGCAATGCCTGTGACATGAAAAAAAAACAAAAAAACATTTGAGTTGTTCTTGTATCTCAAGCAAGTTTAAAAACCAAGACTTACATGGAAAGAATCTCCGATCATAACGATGAAAGAATCTTGCGATGGCTTCACTTTGATCCAATTCTTGTCCTTTGTTAGTACCTCTAGGCCTTCAACATTGTTTTGGTGGAGTATAGTGAGGAGGTTTAAATCGGTATGAACTTTAAGCCCTAACTTAGCCTCCTCTGTTTCAGGTCCTTCGTATTTCATCACTCTTAGGAGGTAACTCGTCGAGTGAAGATGTTCATCGATGTATTTCATGAGTCCAAAGCTCTCCATGATCATTCTTCTGACAGTTATGTCTAGCGTTGATACCTTCTGAGAGAAGGACTGGATTGTTGTGCTGGTAGTAACACAATATTAAAGTCTCATGATCAAGGACTAATTCAAATAAATTAAGGACATAAGAAGAGTTTACTGACCTAAAACTCTTGTTGCCTTGAGGCCATTGCTTTTCCGTAAAGGCGTCGACTTTAGCTGCAACATCAGCATCATCAATGCCCATGCTCTCGTATAGTGGCACCACTGGACTTTGACCTATGTATCCGTGTAACGGTTTTTCGGAAATGTTTCTCTGTTTGGTCTGTAAGGGTAAGTCGAAAAGCTCTTCGATGGACCCGAACATCGATTTTCGTAGCTCGATAGGAATTTTATCGAAAGAAGTCTCGAAACAACCATAGTTTTGTAGAGCTTTCAAGACATGAGCCCTTGTTAAGTCCCATTCGAGCTCTCCCGGTTTCAGGTTTTGGTTCGAGAAATCGATGAATGGGAGGCAAAGAGGAGTTTCGGAAGCCATTTAGTGAGATGAGAAAGATAGCTGGATATGGAGTTACTAAACTGAAAACCTAACATGCTATTTATATACTTCAGCCTCAAGGAATATAATATTTCCTTGATTCTCTCGAGCTAGCTAAAAAGTTAGGTGCGATAGAAAAACCATTGTTTTTGTTTCTTGAGAACGAATATTACCTTTGTTTAATCTCTATTTTACATTCAATATTACAAGATGTCAAAAAAATTCTTTGAAAAATAATTGTTTTTGTTTCTTGAGAACTAATTACTACCTATTTTAGAGATATTACCTTTGTTTAATCTCTGTTTTACGCATGCTGAATATAATAACCATCAATCATTGTAGACCATCAATCATCACTTTTGTTTCTTCTGGAGAACGAATATAATAACCATCAAGTCAACTATTCCATAGGTCGTTGAAGACAAAACATCACCATTAGTTCTAGTTTCATTTCTAAAAAATATTATCTTTGTGTTAATCTCTTCTCTTTTTGTTT